GTGCTGAGCCCGGAGCTGCCCAGCTGGGGAATGGTGGGGGGCTGTGTTTTTTAGGGGTGCAAGAAGCTGGTCTGTCACTGGGCTTTGCTGACCCCAATTTTGGGGGCTACAGCCCAGCAGAGGGGGCAGGGTCTGTGCTGGGGGGACCCCAAGACAAGGAGGGGACCCCGGGGGAAGGGCCCAGGGGCCCTGGTCAGAGCTGCTCAGCCCCCAGAGCTGTGGCCATGAGCTGATGCACTTGGCCCCTCTGCCAAGAGCTAATAAGTGGCTGCTGAGCCTCACAGGGGAAAAAGAAAAAAAAAAAAAGGAAAGAAAAAAAAAAATAGGGGTTTTGGACTTCTCTGCCTCGGAGAAATGAGTCGGATGATTTAATCCACGAGAAATGTGAGGTTTGATGTGTTCTGTATCCCCTCCCTGCACTGAAAGCAGCCACGAGGACAGCAGGGAGGGTGGGAGATGGGGTGGGAAGGGGCTGGGGGATGCAGGGAGGGCTCTGCAGAGGGAGTGGAGCTGGTGGCCACCCCATGGCCACCGATGGGACAGGATCTCTCCTGCTGTCACCCCCTTGGGACAGGCAGCAGGGAGGGGGTCCCGTGTGCCCTGATGTCAGTGCCCCACTCTGCTGGTCCCTGTCATGGAGAACTTCAACCTCCTCCCTTCTCTCAGCAGGGCCTGAGGCTCCTCCAGGCAACTGTCCTAGCAATGAGTTTGTTTGGACTCAGCCCTGCTTGGAAAGGCTGCTCCTTCCCTCTGGAGAGACCATTGCTCCCAGTTCAGCCTCTTTCCTGGGCAAACTGGGAGGATGGGGATGATGGAGCCGGTCCCTCAGCCTGTGGAGGGGGTGCAGGGAACCCTCAGGGCTGGGATGTGAGTGCTCCCAGCCCAGTGCTCAGACTGGTGTGTGTGTGTGTGTGTGTGTGTGTGTGAGCCCAGCATTTTCCATTCCCTAACCCTTCCCTTCCATTCCCAACCCCTTCCCTGGCTCCGCAGGGCCTGGGCTCGGGCACCCGCCTCGTGGGGCTCTTCTCCAGGGAGCTTTGCCCGGACTCTTAATGACCAGAGCAGCAGCTGTGCTCCAAACAGGCTTATTTCTTGTTTTCCCTCTTTTCTTCAAACACCTGGCCTGGCCAGGGCTCAGCTCCTTTTCGGCTGCGTTTCCCACCCGGCAGCGAGAGCAGCTTGTTCTGTCCAGCCTGGCCCCGTCTCTGTCCATCTGTGCTGCACGTCCTGCTCTGAGTCCAGGCAGAGGGAGTGCTCAGGGATGGAGGGAGAGCCCAGGCCGTGCCTGGGAAGAAGGGATGGCTATTTGGGAAGAGCAGGACCTGCAGGGGAGGGATGAAGGCTGCAGCTTCCTCCTCCTCCTCCTCTCACCCCCTCCCTCCCTCCCTCTGCGCTGGGATCCCTGTGCTGGGGTGGCCAAGGGGACACAGAGCCCGGGGTGAATTATCCTTTGGGCTGGGGCTGCTTTGCTCAAGGGCGGCTTCAGCTCCTTCCCCCCGTCCCCTCAGCAGCCACGCTCGGGGACCACATTCCCAGGGGTTTTCCAGGTGTTTGCTGGGGGTGGAAACAGGGGCACGGAGCTGTGCCCCTGCCCCACACGCAGCCAGAGGGGGAGGAAGCCCCTCACGCATCCTCTCAGCCACGTGAGACGGGATCTGTGTGTTACAGACCCAAATACTTTTCCCCTTCGCTCACTTCCCCCTGCAGGGCTTTGCCCGCAGCCAAGTGACTCTCCCGGGCTCCCGGTGACGCTCTCCCGGCTCTGGCTCCGGCGTGGGGAGGCTGCTGTGAGCTCCCTCCGGGGTGGAGGGGCTGCAGGGATGGGCAGGAGCCTGTCCCGGGCTCCTGCTGAGTTTTGGGGGAAGCTGAGTTGGATTTTCCAGCCCGGTGGCCGCCCGGCACCAGCAGCAACGCCCTGCAGAGCCCCGGCAAGGGCAGCACAGCACCTTCCCACTGCGGTCCTGGGGGACTGGGGCCGTCCCAAACCACCAGACAGTATTTTAGGGGAATCCCTGGGCTCCTCTTCTCCCTGCCCAGTGGCCCCTTCCCAGGGAGAGCTCGTTGGCTCACCAAGTTTTGCTGCCAAACACCCAAAATCTGACATTTTGCATGGAGCACACGCTGCTCTCCGGCTGAGTGGCCACAGGGCCAGCTCAGCTTTCCTCCTGCTTTTTTTTTTTTTTTTATCCCTTTCTGAAATTAAATTTTTTAGCTCTCCAAAGGGAGGTTTAAGATCTGGCTTTAGAAAGATCTGTAAATCATCTGTGTTTGTGCAACACCGAGCGCAGGGGAGGCTCGGCTCGGGATGGGGTGGTTGGTGCTGGGATAACACAAAGAATAATCATCTCCCTCGGGCCAAATAAACATTTTAAGCTGCCCCTGAAGAGCCCAGGCTGTGGTGTGGGGAAGGCAAGTGTGGCTTGAGGACAGACCTTTGCTCTGGAAATTCCCCTTCTTGGAACCCTTGGGGCTGGGCCTGGCCTGTGGTGTTCCCTGGGCTGGGATTGACAAATCTTGGTGTGCTGTGGTGACCCCCAGGGTGGGACCACCACTCTTGGTGTGCTGTGGTGTCCCCAGGGCTGTCCCCTCCATGTGGGAGATCCAGGAGATGAGGTTCAGGATGGAACCATTTCCCAGGAAAGGGGATGTTTATTTTACTCACACCTGGCAGGAGCCACTCACACCATGACATGGTGAACGAGGGTCTGGCTGGCATGGACAGGGAGGATGGAGGGGATGAAGGTGTTTGCTGTTTCCCAGCTGGAAATTATGGAGACACTGGTTATAATGGGGATTTTTTGCTCACATCACCCCCTTAAACCCTCTGCTGCCTCTTGTCCGTATTTCCTCCTTTGGGATGTCAGTGTGGCTGCTGCCACCTCCCTGCTGGCGTGGCTGGAGTGACCAGGGCATGGCTGAGTGCTGGAAGCTCCCTGTTCCTGGTGGGCTGATGGGACACAGCCCCCAGGCTCACTGGGGACCACATTCCTCCGTGTTTACCCACTCCAGGCTGTCCCTCTTGTTGTCCTTGGTCAGCCCAGCCTTTCCCTCTGCCCTGGCTCTGTCTCCTGGTGCTTTCACGCTCAAACATTTCCTCTCCCACCTCTGCCAGACCAAAGTGGTGTTTCTGTTGCAAACCTCTGCAGAACAAACCGGGAAAGGGGATAAAGCAAAGGGATGTGGCATCAGGGGACCAGGGATGGCCAGGATGCTGCCCCAAGCCAACCAAAGCCATGAGTGCAGGTTTGCCTCCCTCCATCACCACCTTTCCCTGCAAGAGCAGGGCCAGATTTTGCTCCAGACATGGAATAAATGGAGTGTGTGGTGCCCAGAGCCACGTCCGAGGCTGCAGCCTCTCGGGTTTTCAGAATGTGAAAGGACGTCTTTGAAGGTGGATTCGAAACTTGGACAGGGAAAGAAATTCCTGCAGGGAGAAAATTCAAACAAACACAGTCCCTTGGCTGAGGGCAGGCTTTGCAGGCACCAGAACTGAGGAAGGTTTTGGTGCCTCCTGGCACCAGGAGCTGTGGGAACAGCTTCACAGGCGGGACACACGGTGGTGGAGAAGGTCTGGGGTGTGACACCTTTCTGTGTCTGGCACTGCTGGGTGACTTCTGTGCAAACAACAGCCCATTTGGTGCTCTCTCAGTGCCCAGCTGAGGGGCTGTTAGTTAGCAGGGAAAAAAACACAACCAACCATGGAACATGTCCCTGTGGATTTGGGGACTTCTGAGCAGTTTTTAAAGCAATTGGCATCAATCTCCAACAGCATACCCTTCAAACAGCATCTCCTTTCCCTATTGATTCTGGGCCCCCTCCAGCTGGCAAACACGTGTCTCCAGCTCGACTCTTTGTTTAAACACCATGAAATACCTCTGTGGGTTCTCTCCATCCCTTTTCCTGGCTTCCAGTCGAGCTACCTGCTGCTTTTTAGGATCCCAGAGCCCCAGCTCGCTGCAGGTGAGGGCTGTGCCCTTGGGTCATCCCAACTGGCAGTTGTTGAGCAGCACCCACCAGGAATCCTCCAGTTTTGGGGTAAGGGGAAGGGTCCCACACCGGGAATAAATATTTAGGTGTTTTAGGGAGCCAAAGGCAAAATGAGGGAGTCCAGCCAGTGGGAATTTTGGGGGAGCTCTGATTTTGGCTGTTAGCCACCCTGAACCAAGTGTGGAAGTGCAGGATCAGCCTGGATGGCTGCCAGCCCCTGGCAGGGCTGGGACTGGGATTTAATCGAGCCAGAGCAGCTCAGGTTTCCTGGCCCCTGCTGCAGATGGGCTTGGCTGGAGAGAGGATGATTGGTGGGGAGGGAGGGGACCCCAGAACCCCCCATTCCAGCAGTGCTGGGATGGGGGCGCCTGTAGGAGGGTGATTCCCATGGCTCCTGTGCCCCCCATGGATTTCTTGCCCTGCCTGGGCTGTGTCTCAGAGCTGGGAATGTGCAACAGGTCGTGGTTTCCTCGGAGCTCCCTGAAGCAGAAATGTCCCCCTGAGCCTCCCTGTCCGTGTCCCTCCAGTGCACAGTGATTTTCCAGCTGGGACCTGGCTGACTCTCCCTGCAAATCCCAGTGTCCCTGTGCCCACGAACACTCGTGGCATCACTGTGACTCCCCCTCTTCTCTTCGATAAGTGCCATCAGCATTTAAATTAAAACTCAGCACCAGCTGCGAGCGAATGATCCCCTGCATCATGTTCTACAGGATCCATCTGCCAGGGAGCAGAGGGGACCCCGGGGGCTGATTCCCTTCAGCAGGGGTTGTGGGAGCAGCTGGAAGTCACTCTGGGGGTGCCACGGGCAGGACAAGGGGGCTGGTGCTCTGCTGGAACCCACCATCCCGAACACGCGCCCCTGGAAAGCAGGGACCGCGGCAAGGGAAAGGGCTTATTTGAAATTATTAATTGGCTTTGTTTTTTAAACACGGGCTGGGAGCAGCCTCCGCAGCAGAAGGAATTGTTCCCGAGCGCCAGCCCTCCGGCGGGCCGGCCGTGTGCGCGCCGCGCTTGGCTGCCAGAGAAAGACGTGATTGTTGTCATCGTTGCCTCCGTCCCGGCCCTCCCAGCCCTCCACCCCCCGCGCTCCCACCGCCCTCGGCTCCCGGCAACAAAACCCCCGCGCTCGGGCCGGGCTCGCTCGTGGCGGAGCAGAGAGGAGGAGGAGGAGGAGGAGGAGGAGGAGGAGGAGGAGGGAGACAGCCAGAGAGAAACTTGTCTTGGGGATTAATAAGAGGCAGGAGGAGGGAGAGGTGCACACAGGTAAGCTGTGGGCAGGTGTTTTCCCCCCAGGCTCTTCTCACCTTGCCTGAGCCTCCGACCCAGGACGCTGTGCTGGTCCACGATGTCCCTGCCCTCTCCAGCCTCCCCTACATCCACAGCAACATCTGTTCTTCCCTTTTTTTCCCTCTCCTCTTGTTGGTTTTTTCTGTTCTGCACCAGTTGGAGTCTTTGTTCTCTCCCTTTGCTCTGGCTGTAGGAGTTTTCCTCGCTGTGGGGCAGTTTTGGGTTGGGGGCCGGAGCGGGGGGGGGGGACTGGGGACTCTCCCCCTGTGACAGAGTTGCAGTTGCTGCCAGGAGGTTTTTGAGAGAGGGGGTGAGGACCCCTTTGTGTGTCCCCCACACCGATCTGAGCTCTCACACACTCACAACCCCACGCAGGTTCCCCTCTGGCTCTGCAGTCAGACTGGGGGGACCAGGGGGGCTGCACAGCCTGAGCTGGGGGCTCGGGGGGGCTGCACAGCCCGAGCCATGCCCAGAACTGTCCCCTGCCTTGGGAAGCAGGAGGAAAAACATGCAAGGAGCGGGGGTGAAGAGGCTGAGAGGAGAACGGACACCTCCGGAGCCGGGACTGCTTCCAGGAGCCTCCGGGAACATCGGGTCACCTTGTCCTCCCTTGTGCACGATCTGAGGAGACGGTCGGGGTTTGGAGGTCTGCGGGATTCTGCTCCCATGGGAGAGGGGCTGTGTGCAGGCGGAGAGGGGCAGCCCCCTCCTGCATCCCCCCACGGGGGTCCCGTTTGGAGCAGCCTCTTTGTCTCTGCTCCGGCAGGAGCTGATGGGAGGAAGAAACAGGGCAGTGATGTTCGCTGAAGTCCTGGGAAAAGGGTTTTATTGCTTGGAAGAGATTCGACCCAAACCTGTCCTTCCCCGCCTGTTTGAGAGGTTTAGAAAAAGCATCTACAAAGCAAAACATGGAAATTCATCCCCTTGGCACTGAAGGCGAAGCATGAGGGCTTGGAAACCTTCCTGGGATGCTGCGATCCCGGCCCTGCCTTATGTGGTGCTCAGCTCATCCCAGGGCTGCCTCCCGGGACAGCGCGGAGCAGGAATGCTGGGTGTCCCTGGGGAAGGAGGGGCGAGAGACTGAGCCTTTCCACCTGGGAAGAGATAAAAGTGCACCCGTGGGAGGTTTGCTCTGCCCTGGAAGAGGCTGGAGGGGAGGGGATGAGGTGTCAGAGCAGTTTCCCACCCTTAGGGGAAGCGGAGCGGGGCTGTTGGGGGGGAGCAGGGCCTGTGTGGGGTCGGCGCTGCCGGCGCTTTGGCAGCATCTTCTCCCAGGATTTGCTTTTGTGTGTGTCCAGCCAGTTCCTCCGTGTGTGGCAGAGCGATGTGCGGGCAGGCTGAGCCGGGAGCAGCGCCGGGAAGGGTCGGGACACGCAGGGAGGGAGGAATTGCTGACACGGGGAAGGCAGCGGGAAGGTGTTCCCTGCCAGGGCTGCATTCCCACGGACCCTGCGGTGGGAGGAGGTGGCTGGAGCGAGCAGAGAACGGGATGAGCCTTTCGCAACGGGTCTGGTGACTGTGGTACGGTGAGGAAACGCTCCTGGCACGCAGGAGCCCCGCATTGTTGTCCCCACGTCCTGAGGTCCTCGGCTGAGCCCAGGAGCGTGTCCGAGCTGCTCCCCGGCAGGGTCTCCAGGGACACCCAGCCCTGCAGGACACACACCACCCCTGCAGGAGGAATGCAGCAGGAGCGAGCCCCGCCGCTGCCTCGGCCGTGTGCCGGCTCCAACGAGGCTGCCTGTGGCTCCACTGCTCCCTGGGAAAGGGCTGGGAAAGGGCGAGAACAGCGGGATGTTGCATCAGGGCTGTGCTTCCCAGGGGACCCTGGGGACGCCTGGGTGACAGCCTGGCTGCCCTCCCTTCGGAGGACGGCTTTTTCCACGATTCCCAGTGCTCCAGAGCCGCTGGATAAAGAGCTCCCTGTTCGCTTCAGCTGATCAGACCCAGATTCTTGCAGCGACACGAACGGGCTGTGGCTGTTGGACACGAGGGGAGCCAAGTGGGGAGGTTTTCTGGATGCTTTCGGTTATTTTTAGCTTGCCCTCCTTGTTCTGCTCCGACGTGCAAGTTCCCGAGCTGGGTGGGGGCATCTCTCCCAGCAGGGATGATGGAAATTCCCAGTGGGGAAGGTGGGAAGGGAGCTAACAATGCACTGCAAAGGGCCCTGGTTCCAGCCATCCAGGCTCTCCCCTCCTCTCCCAAAGTCAGAGCTCCCTTTATCCCTCCCAGCCTCTCCCCAGGAGGGGGTTCCGGACAGCTGCTGCTCCCTGCACGTCCCACTGCTGTAAGAGCAGGGCAGGAGGCACCCAAAGGAGTGACAAATCCTCCTGTGTCCTTTCCACAGCTCCCTCTTGCCCCAGGGTGGGGTTTTCTGCCTGCCCTTGGCACGGGTCCCGGGGCTGGCAGAGAGCACTGCTGGGAGCTGTGGGTTACTGGGAGGCAGCGAAGATAAACTATTTGGAAAGCAAACACCAGTGGCATTTGGGGCTGGAATTTCCAGCTGTTGTGCCGATTTTTTTTTTTGTCAGTTGTAATGGGATGAGTGAGGGAGCAGCTGCCTCTTCCTGGGAAAAGCCCCGGGCCGGGATCTGTTGGGTGCCTCGGCCTTGCACTCAGGCCAAGCTGGTCAGCGCAGTCTGTGGCTCAGGAGGTGTCAGAACTGGTTTTGTCCATGAACTGAGCCTTTTCCCCACGCCAGGCCATTGGTTTCCTGAATACACTCATTGCTTCATGACTTAACTTTATTCCAGTTGCACGGATTCCTTGTGGACAGGCGGGATCTGATGACATCGCCGTCGGGAGCGATGACAAAGGTCAAATGGAGATGTTTGCAGAGCAGGGGCTGTGCTGGGGCTCTGGCCCTGCCATCAGCAGCTCCTGCAGAATCAGGGCGTGGGATTTGGAAGTTTGGCTTCTTGTTTTAACTCCAGTAAATGCAACTGGATGGAGAACAGACTTCCAGCTGCGCCGGGTCCAGGCAGAGCTGGCTTTGAACCTCCCAGCGTGGTGGAGGCAATTGTAAGGCTTGTGGTGGCCCCAGGCTTGTTGCATCCCCGTTGTTGTTCTGGATGCAGGGCTCTCAGCTGGCTGGGGAGTGGCTTTGCAGGGACAGGCTGGTGGGGACCAGCAGAGAAGGGTGGTGGCAGTGCTGGCACTGCCCAGTGCCCTGGGCAGAGGGGCTGTGACAGTCCCCACGGGGACGTGGCAGTGGATAAAAGGGGCTGCATCTGCCTCCTGACACTTCCCTTCTGTGCTGACAAATGCCTCAGGATGTGTCGCTCTCCAGCCTGGATTTCTGGCTCAGTCACTGTTCCTGCTCTGTGCAGAGTCCCTGAACATCTGCAGTGCTCAATCCTCCTCTGGAGGGGGTGCCTCCTCACCTCTGGGTGAGCTGAGGGCCAAACGCAGAGCTCAGCCCCTGTGGTGGCAGAATCCAGGTCTGAGTCTTGGAGCAGAGGCAAAATCCTATGGAATGGTCTGGGACAGGGTGGGTGGAGGGTGCAGGGTTGGCTGTGACTGAGGAAAGAAGCGGGATGAGAAGGAATGGGGAGGGGACATCCCCACATCCCTGTCGTGAGTTGGCCCGTTCTCTGCAGCCAGACACTGAATCTGGACTCTTGGAGACAGAAGCACGTCCAGTCCCAGCAGGGACCTCCTGCAGCACGGCTGGGCTGAGGGTCTGGCAGCACTTGGCTCCGGGGCTGGTCCCTGATCCTCCCTTCCCCCAGCGAGATGCCAGAGCCCTGATTGGAACCAGCCGGCAGGGGAGGAGTGTGGGGTTAAACAGAGCCAGATGGGAGCTGAGCAGGCAGCGAGGAGAGGAACAGGCTGGGCCTGGAGGGGGAAAGAGAACAGGAGCTTTTCTAGGGAGAAGTCAATTCCTTGGAGCCCCAGGAATGCGTGGGATCATTTCAAAGGGAGCAGGGCTGGCAGCCCTGGAAGCAGTGGCACAGCCAGTGGCACATCCCTAGGCAGGATGTGGACTCCAAGTGGGAAGCTGTAGGCAAAGGGGGTTGATGTGGCCCCAACCCTGACCCTAACCCTGGCCCCTGTGGCCACGATGGCAGTGAACTCCACTCTGCTGTGTTGCGTGGGAAAGCTGGAAGAGCCTGGTTTTGCTCCAAAATCGGCGTCAGGAGCTCCAGCATCACCAAAGGCTGCTCCCATCCCACAGCACTTGCTCCCACAGCAGACACCCCATTTCCCCATCTTCCTTTGGCTTTCCTCATCTTCCTCCCTCTCATCTCACCCCATTCTCTCTCCCCCCCTGCCTCTGCCGAGCTCCTCCATCTGCCTCACCCTGCATCCAGCTTGGCTCTGATCCTGCTGGGGTGACAAGTCCTGCCGGGAAGAGCCTGGCGAGCACCCCGAGGAATGTGCCCAGGAAACCCACCCACAGCCTGGCCTGCTCCAGCTGGCCCTGGAGAGGTGCAGCCAAAGCACCTTCTGCACGGGGCTTCGTGGGGAACTCATCTGCAACGAGCTGGATCCCTCCACCCTCCGAGGGATCAGCTGGAGAGCTCCCAGCTAGTCTGGCAGGGATGATCACTGCTGTTCCAGGCAGCAGCAGGGAGAGCAGAGAGGGGACAGGCAGCTTTGTGAGCTTGATAGCGACCCAGAGAAGAGGGAGGGGTGACAAGGTGCTGGGCTGGCATCCAGGAGAAGCTGTCTGGCTCAGGGCACACAGAGACCTCTCCTGGTCCCTCCCTATCTCCCACTTCTACAGTTATTCCCCAAATAACCACCCCTGCAGCAGGACTGGAGGTGATGGATGGGTTATTTGGGCAGCACAGGGAGCTGCAGAGCCAAACACCTTCCTTGCTGCCCGTGTGTAAACTTGCAAATGCCCATTTTATCACTCAGCCTTGAGAAAGGGCTGAGCTGCCTCCCAGCCGGTCCCTGAGCACAGGGCCATCCATCTCTGCTGCCCTGCTAACTGCTGCTGGCCTCCCGACACCCATCCACAGCCAATTTCCTACTGAATCATTGATTTCCTGGCTTAAGTGCAAAATTGAGCTTAATCCATCAAGGCCTCTGAAGGGGCAATCCATCCTTGGGGGAGAGGGGACAGTGCTGTCCTCCCGGGGGGGGCCCAGGCTTTGTGGGGTTCTGCTGAGGGTGGCATGTGAAAAACACCCCAAATGACAAAATCCAGCATCCCCCATGGCACGAGGCTGAGCCAGAGAGAGGGACCTCAGTGACTCGTGCTCTGGAGGGGGGGTTGGATTTGAAGATGACTTCCGAAGGGAAGGAGGGAAAACAGCAGGTTACTGGCAGGGACTGGGGGTAAATTCCCGGCTGTCCGTGGTGGGGAGATGACACAGTGCCTAAATTGGGGTGTTTTACACTGCTTAACCCACCTCTCGTTGCCTCCCTCAGGGAAACATCTGGACCATGAAGGTGGCCCTCAGGTTGCTTCTCCCACTCGTTCTCGTGCTGGTCTCGGGGGTGGGCGGGCAGCGGAGGAAACCTCCCCGCAAACCCACCCGCCCGCCCCCGCCCTTCGTGGAGCCCGTGGAGCCCACAGAGCTGCCCCCACCCCTGCCCCCGGGCCCCCCCTCCGTCTTCCCAGACTGCCCCCGGGAATGCTACTGCCCCCCGGACTTCCCCTCCGCCCTGTACTGCGACAGCCGCAACCTGCGCAAGGTGCCCGTCATCCCGCCCCGCATCCACTACCTCTACCTGCAGAACAACTTCATCGACGACCTCCCCGAGGAGTCCTTCAGGAACGCCACCGGCCTCAAATGGGTCAACCTCGACAACAACCGCATCCGCAAGGTGGACAGGCGGGTGCTGGAGAAGCTGGAGAACCTCATCTTCCTCTACATGGAGAAGAACCAGCTCAAGGAGGTGCCCGCCTTCCTGCCGCCCAACCTGGAGCAGCTGCGGCTGAGCAGGAACCAGATCTCCAAGATCCCTGCTGGGGTCTTCAACAAGCTGGAGAACCTGGTGCTCCTGGATCTGCACCACAACAAGCTGAGCGATGGGGTCTTCAACAAAAACACCTTCAAGGGACTCAAGAACCTCATGCAACTCAACCTGGCCCACAACATCCTGAGGAAGATGCCCCCCGGGGTGCCCAGCGCCATCCACCAGCTCTTCCTGGACAGGAACAACATTGAGGACATCCCCAGTGACTACTTCAAGGAGTTCCCCAACCTGGCGTTCATCCGGCTCAACTACAACCAGATCTCTGACAAGGGGCTCCCCAAGGACTCCTTCAACCTCACCAACCTGCTGGTGCTGCACCTGGCCCACAACAAGCTCACCAACGTCCCCTTCATCAGCCCCAAGCTGGAGCACCTCTACCTGAACAACAACTCCATTGAAAGTGAGTTCCAGGGGCAGGTGGGGGGGCTGTGCTGGGGCTGGGGGGGAGGATGGGCTCGAGGAGGGGAAGTGATGCACTGGGGAGGTCTTTCTCACCCAGTGGGACGTGAACCCTGCAGAGGGGGGTGTGGTGTTGAGACGAACTGGGAGCTCCAGGGTGAACAAGGAGTGAGGGGGATGGCTCTGCACTGGGGAAGGAGGAGCAGAGCTGAATTCCCCCTGGTGCTGCAGGGCATTTTCTGCTGGTTGTCACGGGCAGCTCTTCTTTGGGGCCACCTGCCACTGAAACAGCTCCTTCCCCAGCAGGGCACAGAAATGGGGGTATTTCAACAGGAGAGTCTGTGCACATATTTTGGGAACAGATGCCAAACACACAGTCAAGATGGTTAGAAATAACCCAGCTCAGCTCCTGAGCTGAGCCTGCAGGGAAGGAACAGGGAGAACAAGGCTGCACTGGAGCTGCCTTGGCAGAGCAGCCGGGGCTTTCACACCGTTCCAGCTCTGCAGTTCCACGGGAGAGCTGCTGGCCTGGGAAATGTGTAACCAGAGCGAGCACAGATGAGCACACAGAAATTCAGCATTCCCATTCAGCCTTCCAGGGCCTAAAGGGGCTCAGAGGGAACTGGAGAGTGACTTTGGACAAGGGATGGAGGGAGAGGACACAGGGAATGGCTTCCCAGTACCAGAGAGAGCGTTACATGGGATATTGGGAAGGAATTCTTCCCTGGGAGGGTGGGCAGGCCCTGGCACAGGGTGCCCAGAGAAGCTGTGGCTGCCCCATCCCTGGGAGTGTCCAAGGCCAGGTTGGACAGGCTGGGAGCAACCTGGGCTAGTGGAAGGTGTCCCTGCCCATGGTAGGAGGTGGGACTGGGTGGGCTTTAATGTCCCTTCCAACCCAAACCATTCCAGGATTCTATGATTCCTGGTCTCTCCAGATGTTTCTGCTATTGGAGGTGCTGTCTGGAAGCAAGGGCAGGATGCTGTGAATAGTGCCTGGTTCAAACACTGGTTAATCTGCATTTTACTCAAACACCACCAAAATGGAGCCGGGGGGACCTTGGGGTGAATGAAGGTGGTGACTCCTGCTGGCTCCCCACACACCAGCACCCAGGTTCTGCTACGGCTTTCCATGGACAGGTGCCCTGTGCACACCATGCCCCAGCTTTTCCTTGCCTGTTTTACCCAGCCTTTGTAAGGTTTCAGTCCCTGGAGCCGGGTAATGACATAAGAATCCCCGGGTTTATTTTCCGTAATGCGGACCCTGGGGCGGGGAGGGACACGTGCAGCCCCAGAAGCGAGCAGCCAGCCGGGGACTGACGTTATCTCCAGCAGAGCAGGGCTGCAGCGGGTTTCCTTGATGTTTCCGTGGAGGCTCAGGGCTGGCTCGGCAGGTTTCATGTGCCAAACGATCCCTTTTCTCTCTCCGATGACACCGCATCCCTCGCCGCGCCTCGCGCGAGCGCGACCTACTTCGGCTCTGATCAAAGGCGAGATCTTCCTGTGCCGTCTTTGGGAAGAGGCTGGGGCTCGTCCCCCCGGGTAGCAAAGCAAAACCCCCGAATGGGGTTCAGCACACAGGCAGGGAGGGGGGCTCCAGCATCCTCTCTCTGCCTCCCTTCCCTCTAACCTGCCTTCCTGTCCCCCCGCAGAGATCAACGGGACGCAGATCTGCCCCACCTCGCTCGTGTCCATCCAGGACTTCTCCCCCTCCAACCTGGACGGCGTGCCCCGGCTGCGGTACCTGCGGCTGGACGGGAACCTGCTGAAGCCCCCCATCCCCCTGGACCTGATGATGTGTTTCCGCCTCCTGCAGTCCGTGGTTTTCTAGCCCTGCCCCTCCTGCCCCAGGACTTGGCCTTGCACAGAGACTCGTCCCCTCGGCGGTGTCTGACACGTGGGACCCCCTTTGCCTCCCTCTCCCCCTGCTCACGCCCTGCCTCCACTCCTTTCCTTTCCCCCTTTCCTCCCCTGCAGTGGCCGTGGACACACGTGGCACGTGCATCCTTTGGGGACCACTGTCTGCAGGACGGCACCGTGTCCCCACAGCCACCCCAGGTCACAGCATCAGCCCGGGGTGGCTGCCCCGCTCACCCCAGCTCCCTGCCCCGGGGCTCCTGCCTTCTCTGCCCTCCCCCAGGCCCACCCTGGAGCTGGCTCCGTCTCTCCCTTTGCACCCAGCAGAGTTTCAGGAGGTTGGATTCAGCCCAAGCCAGGAGCATCTCCAGGTGGAGCTGCTGGACTCGGGTCACATCACTGCTCTGGGTGGCTGCACCCAGAGAGCCCGTGGTGTCCCTGGGGAACAATCCCCTGTGGCAGAGGTGGGGCAGGGATGGCCTGGGCTGGTGTTCAGAGGTGCAGGGCAATAGCAGTCAGGTGGGATCCGTGGAGGTGGAGGGGCTGGGCCTGTGGAACATCCCAGGTGCCAGGCAAGGGACATGCTCCTCTCTCCTGGGCCCTTCTGGGGGGCTTTGGCTCCACATTGCTCTGGAGAACAAGGATCTGAATCCCTTGGGGAGGTGTGGATTTGCCAGGGTGGGGCAGGGAGGGTTTGGGGCCCTGCACTGGAGCTGGGCTCTGCTGCGCCCTGCGTGGGTCACACCCTCCCCTCAGCCACCACCACCCCCCCTCCCTTGCACGAGCAGCCCCTTCCCAGCTTCCATCCCTCCATGGATTGATGCTGCTCCCCCAGCAGTGCTGAGCCCCATCCCAGCATCCTGCATCCTTCCCCCGATCCGTGGGGATTCTGGGCTCAGTGCAGGGGCCACGCTCTGCCCTCCCCACTGCAGGCAGCACCCAACATCCACAGGACCCCCATGGCAGGGACCCCTCAGAGCAGGGCCAGCTGCTCTCCAGCAGTGCCAGCAGGACACTTGTCCTTGTTTTATGTGCCTGGGGCCAGATGCTGACACGGGGGGGGTAAACCCAGGCTGGGCTGATCCCTGGGGGTCTGGGCTCTGCTCTCACAGCTCCCCTGCCCTGAATTCCACCCCTACCAAAAGTTTTGCTCTCAGTTGCTCTCTGGAACCAAGCACACAGGAGCGGTTTGCCTGTTTTATTAGGGGGAAAAAAAAAAGAAAGAAAGAAAGAAAAAGAAAGGGAAGAATTACTCTTTGGAAAAGCTATTTTGGTCCCCGCTCTCCCTGTCCTCACATGTATCGCTTCCCTCTTTGATAGCTGTACCTGCATATATAGGGTGTCCGGGTTTAGGGGGATTATTCTCTTCTTTTCTTCCTGATTCTCAGGATTTGGATTTAAGGCCGAGCATTAGAGGGAAAAAAAAAAAAAATCCAACTGCAATAAGCATTAAAGCAATAAACCAAAGAAACCTCCTTTGTGTTAGGCCACCAGAACTGACCCTTCCCTGAGGTGGGCACGGACGGGCACCGTGTCCTGCCCCCTGGGAATGGGACAGGGATGCTCCCCACAGCCTGGGGACTCAACAACCACCCTGAGATGCTCCCTCTTTCCACTAATTAAAACCCTGTGCTAATTGAGGCTTGTTTTCTCACGATAAAAGCCTCTTCACCAAATCTTCCTGCAGTTGGCTTTGTTGGGTTCGACAGGTTTCAGCCTCAAACCCGGAGCTCCTATGTATATATTTATATATAATGTGTATATAGACTGGTAGACTGTACAGATATATCTAGAGACATATGTACCTCTCGACTGATTTCAACTTAATGGTATTTTCACTCCTACTCTCCCCAGCAGTGAAAATAAAATGATTCACAAGGGACCCAGAGCCGCAGTTGGATCTGCCTCTCTCTGATCCATCCTCATCCTCTCTCATCCTCCATCCTCAGGTGCGGGAGCTGCTGCTTCGTTCAGGGCCAGATTTCCTCTGCTGGGGCCAATTCCCAGCAGTTGGAGCCTGTGAGACCCTGAGGGTGGGTGGGTTCTGGTGTGCACTCCTTGAACCAGTGATGGTTTAGGTTAGAATTTGGGAAGGAATTCTTCCCTGTGAGGATGGGGAGGCCCTGGCACATGTTGGCCAGAAATGCTGGGGCTGTCCCATCCCTGGAAGTGTCCAAGGCCAGGTTGGACGGGGCTTGGAGTAACCTGGGCTGGTGGAAGGTGTCCTTGCCCGTGGTATGGGAGTGGAATGAGTTGATCCTCAAGATTCCTCCCAAGCCAAACCAGTCTGTGGTTCAGTTTGGACTCACAGGAGTCAAAGCAGCCATCACACCTGCAGCGTGGTGGTGGGTGGGTTCAGGGGCCACGAACCTGCCTTAATGAGCATCTCTGCTGATGAAGAGAGCCTGATCTGGGCTGCAGCTCCCTGGGCCGTGGCTGTTGGCGGGTGTTACTGTCCCAGCGAGAAGGTGACGGCTGCGTGTCAGGGTGGGGTGTGAACTCCACCCGAGCTGCCCCGTGCCACCAGGGAAGCCCTACAAACATCCCCAGGGTGAGTTTTCCAGAGTGGAGAAGCGTCAGGGCGTGCACAGGGGAGGAGGCACCTCTCCCACCCCCAACCACGATCCATCGCCGGGCTCGGGCTGCGCGTGTTTCCACACGAGCAGGGTGGGTGTAGGCAGCGACTTCTCCTTCTGCCCATCGCCTGAGCTGCAGCAAACCTCCTCTTGCGACTGCTCTCCCCACGTGGCTCCCGAGCCGGGAGGGAGGACGGGCCGTGGGCGCGGGTGTGAGCGCGGGGGCTGTGCCGGGGGGCTGCTCACGGGAGCGTGCAGGGTGAGTGTGAGTGTGTGTGTGTGTGTGTGTGTGCAGAGCAGGCACAGGCAGCCACCTCCCCTTAAAATCGCTGTATTTTGTAACCAGGACGTGAATCACCCACCCCCAGGTGTGTTTTCACTCCCTGGGTAAGTCAGCCCTGTCTCCTGTGGGAGCCGAGCTCCCGAAAACCGCGGGGGGAGTTCGTTTCTTCTCCCTGCAAACAATCGCTGCCACCGTGGGGGTGGGACTAGGAAGGCCCCCCCCTCACTGTGCGTGTTGTGGGGTCACTGGGAAAGCTGGAACCCCCTCATTAGTGTGGGAGATGAGAGGGGCACCCCGGGGTCTCTTCAGCATGCTGGGTGATGATCTTCCAGTGCTGGGAGGGGCCGGGTTTGGTGAGAGGCACTTTGGAGCAGGGGGAGTTTGGCTCGAGTCAAGCCCCCTCCCAGCTGGTGATGCCCCCAGCCCATCTGTGGGTGCTTGATGGGACCTCCCCCGATGGGACCCTTGGGGTGCTCTCGCCCTTGTGGGGTCTTTGCCCTGGGGGCAGGGAAAGAAGCGGGACAAGGGCAGGACTCCTTCCAGCTGCTTCTCCAGGGCAGCAAAGCAGCTGCCCCGGGGACCCCTGTGCCCCGAGGGACCCCGAGGGCCAGCCCAGGCTTTGGCTGTGCAGCAGTTCACCCCCCACGCTGGGCTGTGCCGCCCCCCCAGCTGCCACATCTCCTCCGTCACGGTGGCCACCGAGCCGCCTAATGAGGGGCTTAGCGGGGATTAGAGGCCCCTCCGTGCTGAGCGGGGCCGGGGCCTGGGGGCTGTGGGGGCGCGGGGAAAGCTCGTGCCCGCTGGCAGGGGGGGCTGCGGGGGTGTCCCCGGCAGATGAGTGAGCCGTGGTGGGTGGGTGGGTGGGTGGGTGGGCCGGGAGCTGCCTGTGGGAGATGGTGAACATTTTGGCGGCGGTGGGCGGCCGCGTGGGCACGAGGGTGCCCAGCCCTGTGAGGAGCTGCCATGCACACCCTGCCCATCCCAGGGTGTCCCAGCCCTGTGGGACATGGCCCTGGCAGTGACATCCCCCCTCAGAGGATGAAGCAGGGCCATGTCCCCCCCCCACCCTGAGCTTAGCCCTAGGTGGGTGTAGGAGTCCCCCCGCCCCAGAGCACGTGGGTGCACACCAGGGGGCTGGGGGATGTCTCCCATCCTACCCCACTGAGGGGAACAGCACTGACACCCCACACACATCCACACCAGCTCCCTTTCCCCAAACTGCCCCCAAACCACCAGTGTGCAGAGGGTGAGGGGGTGCTGAGCCCCTCGGAAGATGATTTGAGGTGGATGAACTGAGTGTCCCCGGCTGTCTGGCTGCTGGGATGGGTCTGTGCCACGTCCTCCCCAGGGCTGGGATACTCACGGGGCCCCCCAGGTCCCCCCCCAGCTGAAACCCAGATCAGCAAGGGGATTTGTGCCTGGTCCCTGGCCCTTCCTGCATCCCTGGGGATGGACACAGCTGGAAATCACTCTCTGCTGGCAGGACCTGGGCTGGTTGAGGCAGGGATGGTGCTGGCCCTGTCCCCTCTGCCCAGGGCTGTGTGTCCCATTGCTCATGGGCAGGGAGCACATTCCCCATCCCTCCCACCCCATCCCTTTCCCCCACGGCCCCAGACACCCGCCTGGGCTGTTGGAGGACAGCCACTATTGGGGCTGGCTAGACCCTGGGGACAATATAAACTCCCAGCAGGGGGGTTCTGGCTTGATTGGCCGCATCCTGCCTCTCCCCTCGGCTGTGGCCATGCCAGACCCCTTGTGCAGCCCCCCTCCTCCTCTCCATGCCCCCCTCCTCCTCTCCATGCCCCCCTCCTCCTCTCCATGCATTAAAAGCCCGGCAGCCCTTCCCAGCCAGTGCACCAGCCCGTGGAGCCGAGCAGGGCTCTCCCACACCGAGGAGGAGGGGACAGGGGGTACGTCCATGCCGGCTTCCTTTGGCTCCTCCAGCGCCAAGCAGAGCCCCCCAGGGCTGGGGTGAGCTGGGGGGCTGGCAGGGTGGGGGGCTGGGGGGCTCAGTGCACTGGTAGAGGTTTGATCTGGGGAAAAACGGCAGGAATTGGGGAGCAGCACCCTCAGCCTGGGGTGCAAAAGCTCTGGGCTGGGTCGTGGCTTTTGCTTTTGGTTTGGGAGAGACACGTGGGAGGCTGGTGGGTGTGGGACCCTCCTCCTGCCCTGCCGTGGGAGCCCCTGTGGACATGGAGGGAGGGAGATCCTTTGGGAATGGACTCTGGCGGGTTTGGATGCAGAGTCACCAGGAATGGGGTGGGTCCTGTGCAGGCAGCCCCTGGGCTCAGGGTCGAGTCGCAGGGACCCTGTGGCCTCTGGTCCTCCAGGATGCTGGAGGCTCAGGGATTTGGTCCTGGGGGTGGGAGCAGTGGGGAGTGAGCCCTGCACAGCCAGCCAGCCCCTGCACAGCCAGCCAGCCCCTGCACAGCCAGCCAGCCCCTGCACAGCCAGCCAGCTGAGCGTGAAGTGGGCTGATAAGAAAAGGGACGGGGAGAGCAGGGCTGGCTCCAGCCACATCCCGGTTCTGCATCCCGGCCCTCTCTGCTTTCCAGGACACCTGGCCCCAGCCCAACCTGGCCCTGTGTCCCCCAGGATCAGTGAGCCCGGCTGGGGGCAGGATGTGGATTCTGGGCTGGCTGGGCATGGCCAGCCTGTGCCTGGGGGCAGCTTGGGCTGTCCCAGCCAAGGACAGGAGGAAGGCAGAGAAGCCAAAGGCTGACCTGGCCCTCTATGGAAACCTGGACCTGGACAACTATGACCTGACCCTGGACAACTACGGGGAGATCCTTGACCTGAGCAATTATGAGGAGCTCTATGACTACAGTGACCTGGCTCCGAAGGTGAGGGGGGTGCAGGAGAGCACCTGGAGTGGGGGCACCTCTTCCCTGGGTGAATCCCGAGGAAAGGGTTTGGTCCAAGAGTCTGATGGGGGAGAGCTGGGAGAGCTCTTCAAGGAGGAGCTGTGTTTTCAGTAAGACCTGTCCCGTGCCCTCGAGCAGCGCTGCTCCCCCTGGAGAGGGGAAGGGCAGGATTTGCTCGGCCTCTCCCCCTCACACCAGGGCTGTGTTCACAGATCGAGGTTGGCACCTTGGCTCCTCGCCCCAAGGACCCCAAAACTCTCCCAAACCTGGGTGCCACAGCTGAAACCCCAAAACTGAAGCCTGCAAGCACTGCTGGTCCCATCCACCCAGCGCCCATCCCCGTGCAGGGTGAGTGGGGAGCTCTGGGCTCGGTTCCTCTGGGATGCATCCAAACGTCCCAGGAGTGGCAGGGCTGGGGCTCTGGAGGATAAGGAGCGAGTTCTTGTGCCACCAGCAGGCAGCAGCAGCTATTTGCTCTGCCAGGCCAGCCAGGAGACGGGGTGTGGGGGGTGAGTCTTCTCTCACAGCAGGCAGAGAGGCATTTCTGGGAAACAAGAGCTCCAGCAAAGCAGCAACATTTTAATGAGCAGAGGCATTGCGACAGTCGGACAGAGTAGCAATTAGATTAGTGACAATTAAAATCCTGTAGCGAGGGATAAATATCTTTATTCATTTTCTGTCACTCAGGACTGGGACAAATTAAGTGGGAGGCAAAGGGAAATTGTTGCCTTGCTGCTTTGAACTCCCCCATTAATGGATGTGGAGTCTTGTGGGAGACTTGGGTAGGAGCTGGGGCAGAGGAGAGGGAGCACGGGGAGGGGGTCATGGCTTTACCCCTCCTGCCCCCCTGCCCAGGGTGCTGGGACCCTCAGGCAGCCGAGGCAGATGTTTTGCTTGGTGCAAAACTCTTTTCTCTTGTTCTGTTTCCTTCAGTGGCCAAACTCAGGGGGCTGGGAGAGCCCTGGGTGTGAGGCTGCAGCGTTTGGCAGCTTTACATCCCCCCCCCCACTCCCAGGAGAGGGATTTGGCCCTGAAGAGCTCATTTATTAGCAGTTCTGCTGGCTGGGAGTGTCTGGTCCTCCCCTGGGTGAGGTGCCCTGGGCTGGTCCTCTGGTGATGCTTTCGGGGCTGTGACAGCTCTGGGTGATAAAAACTTGGTGCACCCACAGCGTGGGCAGGGTGGGCGCGTCCCCTCACCTCCCTGCGTGTTTCGGGGGGGCTGGGGAGCTGTGCCGTGCCAAGGGTGCCTGTGCCCCCCTAGGGCTGCCCAGCTGCCTGCTCTGCCTGTGCATCGGCACCTCCGTGTACTGCGATGACGCCGACCTGGAGCACATCCCGGCCCTGCCCCCGGATACCACGTACCTGTACGCCCGCTTCAACCGCATCGGGGCCGTGCGCGCCGGGGACTTCACGGGGCTGAGTACGCCAGGGAGGGGCCAGGGAGGGGCCAGGCCCCGAGTGGGGCAAGAGGAATAAACGCCTCTGCCTTCGTCCCTCTCCATCTCCTCCCTCCGCTCCCCACAGAGAAGCTGAAGCGGATAGACCTGAGCAGCAATTCTATCTCCTGGGCGGACGTGGACGCCTTCCGCCTGCTGCCCAGCCTGCAGGAGCTCATCCTGCCCGAGAACAGGCTGACGGCGCTGCCCGAGCTGCCCCTCAGCATCGTCCGCCTGGACGCGCGGCTCAACAGGATCCCCAGCGCCGGCCTCCGGCCCGAGGCTTTCCGGGTGCGTGCCGGGGGTGAATCCCGGCTGCTGGGAGCCCAGGGGTGCAAAGGGATGGTCCAGCAGGGCTGGCAGCAGCGAGGCTCACGTCTCTCCTCTTCCCACAGGACCTGAAGCAGCTGCAGTTTCTCCACCTGTCCGATAACCAGCTGGATTTTATCCCGGCGCCCCTTCCCGAGAGCCTGCGCTCCCTGCACCTCCAGGTGAGATGGGCCCGGACCCGGGTTTGCCTGCACCTGGGCCTAACAGAGCCCACCTTTCCCTCCCCCTCCTCCTCCCCATCCCTTTGATTTATCCCTTTCCCTCCCCAGAACAACAACATCCAGACGATGCACGAGGACACGTTCTGTGACAGCCAGGACCACAGCCAGGTGCGCAGGGCACTGGAGGACATCCGCCTGGACGGCAACCCCATCAACCTCAGCCTCTTCCCCGACGCCTACTTCTGCCTGCCCCGCCTGCCCACGGGCCGCTTCTCCTGAGCCCCCCATGCTGGGGAACACGGGGCACATCCCAGAGCACCCCAAACCCCCTGGGCCCCTCTGCCCACGGAGAACGTGAGTTAAGGCTGATGTGCTTCACCCCAGGGTGAGCTCAGCCCTGGGGCAGAGCATGGATAATAAACTAATAATAATAAAATGAGGACTTTTAAGTGCATTCGATGTCTTGTTCTCGACAGTGAGAGCAGCGGGAAGCCCTTGCCCAGCCCCAGCCCAGCAGCTGCTTTGGGAATGGTGCTGGTGTGCAAAGATGGGGCTTCCCTGTGTCCCATTTCTTCCATTCCCTCCCAGGGCCTTGGGAAGGCCCCTCTGTGTCAGCTTTTGAGGGTTCCTGGATAGGGTTTGGGAGCTGTGTTGCTCCAGGAAGGAGCTGTTTTGGCCACATCAGGATTGACCTGTCCCCCAGGTCCATCAGGTGAGTTCCAGAGGGGTGTTGCACATCCAGGTGTGAGCTGTGGCCACGGCTGGACTGTCCCCGTGCATTCCCAAAGAGGATGCAACTGGAAAACCCATCAAAGGGCATCTGGAATCCTCCCCCACCTCATCCCAGCCCCACTGCAGTCCCGTGGCCTCAGGGACACTGGGATTTGGAACTGTCCTGGCACTAAATGGGATCTCCAGCACGAGCCTCTGCCTGGAGGGAGAGTGCCCCTGGGTTTGGGACTGCAGAGAAACCTGGAGCAGCACCAGAGCCTCGAGTCAAACAGCCCCAGGACCAGCACGAAAATCACTCTTAAGAGAGTTAAAATATCTCATATCAACCCATCTTTCAACACCCAAAAAGAGCTGCCCAGTGGTGAGATATTTTAAATCTAATGTATTCATCCTCTATATTTTTATACACATGTAACAAACACGCACCGTGAGAGGGATGACACATCCCTGGAGATTCCAAACTGCTGAACCCAAACCCCTGAGCTCAGCCCACGTCCTCCAGGCCTGGGGAGGCAAATGAAGGCGGCTGGAGAAAACCTCCGAGGAGGATCCAGCTCCTCACCCAGGGGCACCGGGAACCCACGAGGCTGCGGCGCTGGCACAGCACAGAGCGCGTGTGTGGGCACCCCCTCTCTCCCCTTGCCTTCCTTTCCCCTGCAAAACCCAACTTGGACATGGATTATGTTGACCCCAAAGATGAGGCCCTTGGTAAATGGGAATTTGGAGCTAATCCAGCTTTTCCTTTCAGGCTGGGTCTAAAATGCCAGGATTTGTTACCCTCGTTGTCGCGTCGTCTTTAAAACAGCTGCACCTCCTGACCCCCTGTCTGCCCATCCCCACAGCTCTGCTCCTTCCCCATCCATCCTTCCCACACTTTCACTCCATCCTTTACCCCAGTGACGTCACCTGCTCCCATGGGATGAAGGATTGCCTTGAGCCCAGCTGGGTTCCAGCAGGATGGAGTTGTCCCAACTTTTCCCAGCAGCGCGTCCCGGTCCTTCGCATTCGTCCCACTAGATGGCAAGGCAGAGTGTTTGGAGAGGCCTGACCTTAACTTGGGACTGCAGGCTCCCTCTCTGCTGGTTCCCTCCCTCGTGGGGTGGCCTTGGCATCTCTCAGGAATAGCTCAGGTCCTGGGATTAGCCCAGGTGATTGGAGCTGGCACAGGAAGGATCAAAGGGAGCTGCAGAGGGGAGGAGGGCTGGGTTCAGGGGGAGGAAGGTGACGTAGGTGCAGGGGTGTCTGTGGGGCTCCTGGGTTTCCAGAAACCCAACTTCTGTAAGAGTAATGAGGGCTCTGGCAGGGGAGAGTTGAGATTCAGGGGGGTTGTCTTGCCCTGTGTGGCTTTTGGGTCCCCTTGGCCAGGGGAGGAGGTTGGGCCAGCAGGTCTTCCTTTGCCCAGAGTCCTGGAGGGGGCTGAGCTGGGGCTGCTTTTGGGAGAGGGGCTCAGCTCCACTGTTTGCTGTTATTGATTGTGCAGATTGATTGGCAGTTATTGATTGTGGCCTTGTTGCTGCCATGGTGGGGGAGAGAAACAGCAACCCCCGGGCAGGGAACAGCAACCCCCTCCTGCCACTGGTCCCACAATCCTTTCCTGGGGGAAATGTCCATGGGAATGGAATGTCCCCAGGCTCTCCCCAGCACCCCAGTCTGGCTGGCTGGATCCTGTCCTGGAGCCTTCCCTGGGGCTGGGGCTGGCGGTGGGCTGTCAGAGAGGCTCTGCATCCTGCCCGTCCCTCCTCCCTCGCCCGGGGAGCATCTCCGTGTGTAATTCCTGCAGCTCTGCTCCCTCCCCCCTCCTCTCTCTGCCTCTCAAGGTCACCTTCCTCGCCTGGGCTGGATTTTCACATATTGATTGCTTGGCTCTGGCAGTGCCGTCTCGGAGAGAGCTCCCGATCTCCCGCCAGCTCAGCATCTTGCCTCTCTCTGGGAGAAGCTTCTCCATATGGGCCCCCCTCCTCCTCCATCCTGCCCTCCCCCTCCCCACTCTCCTCCCAGCCCCAGCCCTGCCTCGTGGAGCAGCACCAGAGCACAGACAGGGAAGCCTCCAAGCCTGGAGAGCGGGATCCTTCTCCCTCCTCTGGCTCTCTGTCTCCTGGGGAGCGTGACACGAGCACGTTCCTTCCCTTGGGCTGATTTAGGAGCTGGGACAGCATGTGACACCCTTGTGGGACTCTGTGCTGCTGTGTCTGTTTGTGAGCTGCCTTCATCCTCTTCTGTCCTCTTCCTCCCACAGGTTCTCATCCCCCAGGGAATAAGGAGCTCCCTCTCCCTGCTCCCCACCCAAATTTCTTCTCTGTTTTCCTGACACCTGCGTGACCAGGAGCAACCCGGTGTCCCTTGGCCACCACCTGGGGACAGAGCCATCTTCTCCTGTCCCTCTGCAGCTCCTCAGCCAGGGCAGCACAGGGTTGGGAGGTCTGGGTCAGGAGCGGAGCAGTGGTGGCTGGGTCAGGGATGTGAGACAGGAATCAGAGCAGCAGGAGGAGGAGGATGGAGGACTTGAGCCTTCCTGGGCCCCAGGCAAGCTGGGAAGAAGCCACATGGATAACACAGGTCTGTGTCTGGGACAGTGGCTGTGTTTGCCTCGGGCAGGCAACCGGTGGGTTCATCAGCCAAGCGCCAAATCGATGGCAGGCTGGAAAGGGGCCACTGGAGTGGGGATGCTGACAAGCTCCTGGCCTCCTCTGGGCCAGAAATCACCCTTAAATGCTGCTGGGGAGGAAATGCTGTGGCCCAGCTCGCCGAGGGAGCGAGGCAGGGATGATAACAGCGTTATTTATAGCCCTTCCCTGGCTCTTGGCTCAAGGCACTGGTTTGTGCTCCGCTCAGGGTGGCTGTTTGTGCTGCTCCAGGCTGGACCAGAGCCCTCAACCACCTCCCACCACCCTGCACTGGGGTTGGCTTCCATGTGTCCCACTCCCTGCCCCCCTCCCAGGCAGCTGGACTGGCACCAGGCTCCCCTAGACTGAGCAGACACTCATTTTCCTGCCTCTATTCCTGAAGTGTTGCATCCAGAGGGGTCCCCTGTCCCCGGCGCTGCTGGAGTGGTGAGCAGTGGCCACCCCGGGAGGGCCGTGGTGCTGCTCTGATTCCAGATCTGTCCCTCTTTCTTCTGAAGGATCCCAGTGCTGGGATTCATTAGGTGGGAGCTGCGAGGGCTCTGGAGATGAAAGCGCTGCCCATGAATTATCTCCGGGGTGCAGACAGTTCCCTGGGTCCCTCCAGGGAAACTCAACAATGGAAATACAAGGAGGGGGGAGCTGCTTGGGCTTTTCTTCTCCCCGTTTTCCACTTCACTACTGGAAAAAAAAAAAGGAAAAAAAAAAAAAGGAGGAGGAAAAAAAAGCAGTAAAAACGAAGAAAACACATTCTTTGCCTTTTCACATCCCTCCCCCCCCCCCAAATTGTGAATGTTTAGTGTAAAAATAATCTGTGGAAATTCAGATTTCTCCATATCAGCCCCCACCCCGCAGCACACCCTGGGGTCTCCGAAGGGATGGGGCTCTCCTGGCTCTCCCCCACCCTGCTCCAGAGAGGGGCCCCGTGCCCTGAGCGGCTCCAGGGTGGGAGATGTGACCGAGACACTGCTATTATTGGCAGCGACGCGTTAGGTCTTGTCAGCAGGAGCCCTGACGCCTGGGAAAGGCTCCGTGTGGGGAGCACGTGTCCCTGGGGAGGGGGCCCAGCTTAACCCAATTCCTGCAGAGGGAAGAGCTCCGAGGGGCCTGGGCTGGGGGGAGGGTGCGGGGAGGATGGGGGGATGGAGCCAAGGAGGGGGAGTCTCTGCTGGAAGTGCCTCTCCCAGGGAGATGGGTTGGGCTGCAGGATGCCCCTGGAGTGGGAGCTGATGTCCCTGTTGCAGCCAGGAGTGTCACTTCTTTGGGGGGGGGGGGAAAGATGGGTGTCTGTCTCCCCACAGTTAGGGTGATCCCAGATCCTGGATCCTGCCCCTGAGCATCCCGACCTGTTGCTGCACTGGGAAGTCTCTCCAGCATCGTTCCCAAGGTGACTCTGTTCCTGCACCGTCTCCCTCGGCCGACTGTGCCAAGAGTCTGGCCAGGGAGAAATGATGAAAGGGAGGAAAATTCCAATAAGTGGCTTTTCCGTGCTGCAATCCAGGCTTCTCCAGAGCTGCTGGGATGAGAACCAGTGTCCTGCTGGGCATGAGGGTCTCCCCCACTGGGAATTCATTCCCCACCTCAGGGCTTCCCCGTTCCTGGCTTTAGATATCTTTTTTTTTAGCTGACCTGAACCCAAGCTCTTCCAAGAGTGATTTGGGGGGCCACACGCTGGTTTGGGGGTGCTGCTCCCCTGGGGAAGGGTTTGGTGAGGCAGCAGCCGGTGTGTTGGGGAGCTGTGGAGCCGAAGGGAGGAGGGGAGCAGAGCCCAGCTCTGATTGATCGGCGCCTTTTAAAATAACCACCCGGAGCCTGGATCTTCCATTTCTGTAGGATGTGGAAAACCTGGAGTGGGGGAAGAGAGAAACAGCTTTGAGCGAGCAAGTGCAAGTATTGCTAATTTATGATCAGAGAAATGTATGTTTGAGCTGGAAGATTACAGGGAAAGGACCTGGTGTTCAGCCGAGGAGAAATCTGTTTTCTCGAGAGGTTGGGAAAAGGCTTC